CACTTTTCGCCACCGGGCCCCTTAACCTCAAAAATTCCTCAAAAAACGTGGATAATAGCCTTCAATTTTGATTTTTTGACTTTTTTTCGGCCGGAAATAAAAATTGCCGAGATGTTTACCATAGTCCCTAATACCCTCCGGGAGTCCAATTAGGTGGGTGGAAATATCCAATTTGTCTTAAAACGATCAGTTTACCAATCCGCAACTTGCGCGACAAAAATTGCGTAGTGATACATTACATTTATGACATCATTTAATTATTATATATGATTTCAAATGGAATCATATGACCCCGAGATAAATCCATTAATTAATTTTTCAAGACTTTTCGACACCAGGACTCGTAATTTCCAAATTTTCTCAAAAAGCATACATCTTAGCCTTCAATTTTGGAATATTTTGACTTTTATTTTGTAACACCCCAATAATTCTCCCATTTCCAAACCACTTACTTTAAATAAAAATAGAGGAGAACCATTGGCATGTTACCGCACGTATTAAAACGTTAAGGCTTTATCAAAGTATTGGAGCGGAAATCCAACTTAAATCTTAAAATAATATAATTTAGAAAACCAATAAGTCAAAGCTTACAAATTGGAACCATAAAGACCCTTATTAAAACCAAACCAATATTCAAAATCCCAAAACATAATTAAAATAGTAAAACATAAATAAGTTCAATACAAAGAACGAATACTCTCAATCACACCAATCCCTTGACAATGCGTATGTCAAATCCCCGAACTTCACATCATCAAGCTAATCTTGTGCAATACTGCTCCCCAATAATACAAGTGTAATAATTGGATCATCACAGGGTCATTGAAAGGCGAAAGCCATGACCAAAAGAAAACACACAAAAGCACGCAATCAGCAAATCTGAGTACATACAAGCTACAACGTACCAAGCCTAGCATGCTCAACTAATTAAAGTAAATAAACATACAACACGAATTCATTAATCAAGGCTCCACGTTTAATTAAACAATTCAATCGACTCAACATACTTGCTAATAAATTCCAAACACTTGACTCTTTATATTTAATTTAATTAATTTAATTTGGAGTAATCAATAAACGAGGTTGTCCAATCCACCAAATCATTTTGGTCCCAAATGACCATTTAAAATAAAATTTTAGCGCGATGCAAGAATGGGCCCGACTCCATTCTCACAAAGTTAGTCTAGCATCCCATCTAACTTTCATTATAAAATAAAATGTAAATACCAAAAGAAAAGAGGACATGTTGATCAAACAAGCCTCGGAAATCCACAGGCTACCACCGTGTACCCCAACCCATAATTGTCAATACTCTAGAAGTGCACGCTTTCTAGAGTTTTATTGCTCATCCATGTTTCACTTTACGTGATTACAATTTTAATTAATAGCCGACTCAGTCAAATAGACCATACATAAAAATCATACATCAATTTACATTTAATCTTATTTAGGACAATGGTGATCACATCAAAAATTGACCTTTAATTTCATTAAAATTCCAAATTATCCAAATTGTTGAACATAGTCAACCCACCTAGCCATTTCGGCTTAATCCACTTTTACTCAACATACTAACAAGTCATGCTTGATTAATAAATAAAATAAATAACAACCTTGTGGAATAATTAATAAATTCATTCCACTTAAACCATTCAATTCCAATCCTTTAATAATCCAAATGAGCTTAACAAACCAATCCAATAAAATTATGCTTGCATCAACATTCCATACAAACAATTAATCCAATATAATTCAACATGTTTGCATCCATAATTCCATACAAACATAATCAATTCACCAAAACATGTCTCATAAACATAAGCACATGAATTAATTAAACGTATAACCAAACAATTTTCATCCAAGTGTTCTCTAATCATGAAACTAAATTCTTTTCTTTGGTACCTAAACATGATACTACATACAACGAAGTAGACATGTACGTACCTCGTATAAACAATCCTTTGTGCCACTTTTAATCACTTAAAAGTCTCTTAAGAAATAATCACTTCCTAGAAAACAAGCAACAACAATAAATTAATACATAACCAAATTTTCAGCAATATAAATTTGATTAAAAGTCCTTAAAAATTCATTAAAAACATGTTTTTATGCTTAATTAATCAATAGAAATACAATAGGAACAAAAGCCCCAAATTAATTGATCATAAGAACCCTAAAATCCCAATTTAAATAAATTGAAACCCTAGGTTTTAAAATTATAAAATCTAAAAATTTATAACACAATTATAATCTGAAATTATTAGTTTAAAACATCAAAGACATGATTTTGATACTAAAAATATAATCTTTATATTACAAAAATCAAAACCCAAAACTAATACATTTATAATTAAACAAGTAGTAAAAACAAAGGAGGAATAAGGGGAAGGATGGCCACGGCAAGTGGTCGGCGGTGGCTGGGAAAACCGCCGGTGGTCGGCGCCGGTTTCCGGCAGGTAGGGCCGCGGACTGAGCAACAACAGTGAGTAGTAACTCACGTAGGAAAGGAGAAAAGGAAAAAAAAAGAAAGAAAAGAAAAAAAAAACAGAAAAAGAAAGGAAAATAAAGAAAAATAAAAGAGAAAGGAAAAATAATACTAACCTTTTTTGTGTGTGAAAAATTTTGGGGATGTATGGGGTATTTACAGGAGAGAGAGTGGTGTAAGGTAAGTAGTAAAATTGGGCCTCAAAAATTAATGGGCCAATTAAGTAAGTAAAGTTGGTTAGGTTTGTTTGTTGGACATAAATTATAGAATGATGGTCCATAAAAATCATATTGTAATAAAAATAATTTTCCACCCAAAATAATTTAAAACTTTTGAAATTAAATTCCGGAAAAATACAAATAAATATTATAAATAAAATATAATTATATTTCATTTATAATATATTTAAAAATACGGGGGATTACATATTTAGCTCGGAAATAAAAATAATCGAAATGTTTACCATGGTCCCTAATCCCCTCTGGGAATCAAATTGACTGGGTGGAACCATCCAATTTTCTTTTAAGCAGACAAATTACCGGTTTACAACATGCACCGATTTCATTAATTCAAACCTAGCACGGTACGAACATTTATTTCAACATATAATGATCATATATGGTTCCAAAAGGCATTATATGATCCGAGATGTATACCCTAACATCTCATTGCTTTCGACACCGAGCTCCAAAACCTTCGAAATTTCTAAAAAAAAGTGGATATTAGCCTTCAATTTTGGAAATTTTTTACTATTTTTCGCCCGAAAATAAAAAAAAATTGGCGAAATGTTTACCATTGTCTCTAATACCCCCTGGGAGTCCAATTGGATGGGTGGAACCATCCAATTCATCTTTAAACGGCCAATTTACTGGTTTACAAATTGCATCGATTTCATTAAATCAAGCCTACCACGAACATTTATGACAACATATAATGATCATATATGCTTCCAAACGACATTATATGGTACCGAAATGTATCTCCTAAAATTTCAAGGCTTTTAGACACCGGGTCGTGAAACCTCCAAAATTTCTCAAAAAGCGTGGATGTTAAGCCTTTAATTTTGGAATTTTTTGATTTTTTTTCACCTGCAAATAAAAATTGCCTAAATGTTTACCATGGTCCCTAATACCCTGTGGGAGTCAAATTGGGTGGGTGGATTCATCCATTCCGTCTTTAAACGGTCAATTTACTTGTTTACAACTTGCGCCGATTTCATTAAATCAAGCCTACCAAGAACATTTATGACAACATATAATGATCATATATGGTTCCAAAAGTCACTATATGACCCAAGATTTATCCCCTAAAATTTCAAGGCTTTTCGATACTGGACCTCGAAACCTTCAAATTTCTGAAAAAGCGTGGATCTTAGCTTTTAATTTTTGAATTTTTTCACTTTTTTCGTCCGGAAATAATAATCGCCGAAATATTTACCATGGTCCCTAATACCCTCAGGGGGTGGGTGGAACCATCCAATTTTAAACGACCAATTTACTGGTTTAATACTTGCACCGATTTCATAAAACCAAGCGTACCACGAACATTTATGACAACATATAATGAACATATATGGTTCCAAACTGAATTATATGACCCCGAGATGTATACCCTAAAATTTCTCAAAAAGCATGGATATTAGCATTTAATTTTCGCTTTTAGTTGGTGGTAAAATAATACTTCCTCCGTGTTTTATTAAGTGTTACAATTTCCATTCCCGACCGTGTTTTTTAAGTGTTACACTTCCTTTTTTTGGCAAAAAGTTACATTAAAATATAATATCTCTCTCATCTCATGGTCCCACCCAATCCCACTACTATTTTTATTATTATATTTTTCCTCTCACATTCATTCCTTTTCAATAAACTATCAATCCCAATATCGTTGTTTTACAATTTTTTAATACTCCAACTACCCCACTAAAATTTTATTTTATTTAACTCAATTAAATTGCCTAAAAATATGTACCGGTCAAACTGTAACATTTAAAAAAAAATACGGAGGGAGTATAAAAATTTAGATTTTGAGCAAAAGTCAAAAGTAGTAGATTTTAGTGGTAAGAACGGTCAAATTTTCCTTAAAAACCCAATGTTGGGATAAATCAAACAAATATCAGGAGTATTATAAAATCCAATTGATTGATCAGCCCTAACAATTCCCTGTCAAAAATTAAAACCTAATTGATTGGAGTGCAAATTATTTTAATTTTCAATATGAATTAAGGTTGTATGACAAGATTTACATGTTCAATTGGAATGAGTCAAACAAACCCTTGTTGTTAAGAGCTTTAATTTCTAATGGCTATTCATGTATACTACATTCTCTTTTTGCAGTTATAACTAAAACTCTCGTGTACGAATTATAATCATCTCGAGTTTTAGATGAAAATGGCAAAGAGAGATTGCACAAGGAATGAGTACAGATCTGAGATTTGTCAATACAATATAAGTCAAGGAAAATAGGGCTAATGGGCTTGTTAAGCTTAAATACAATTACAAAAGAAATCAAGCAATGAAAATTAAAATAATTTGCACTATCACAAAATAAAAAGAAGCCATTGGCAACAAAAACTCAGAACTTGATCAACATTCTTGCAAATTCCTACAATGTCACAAAATACAGCTTAATTGGTGAATTTAAGTCAGTTTTCCTACAACTGGAAGTTGAGGTTACAACCAACTTTGACAAAATATCTTTTTAAACATTTCTTCATAGTTACTTTAAAAAACTACTGGCACAAACTTGTTGTCATTCATACTGTTCCTCTTCTTCCTCATCTTCATATTCATCCTCCTCAGCTGTTGCATCCTGATACTGCTGATACTCTGCAACCAAATCATTCATGTTGCTCTCGGCTTCAGTGAACTCCATTTCGTCCATCCCTTCTCCGGTGTACCAATGCAAGAAAGCCTTCCTCCTAAACATAGCAGTGAACTGCTCACTCACCCTCCTGAACATCTCCTGGATTGATGTCGAGTTACCAATAAATGTCGATGCCATCTTCAAACCGGTGGGTGGGATGTCACAGACAGTGGACTTGACGTTGCTGGGAATCCACTCAACAAAGTAGGAAGAGTTCTTGTTTTGCACGTTAAGCATCTGCTCATCAACTTCCTTTGTGCTCATCTTTCCTCTGAACATTGCAGAGGCTGTCAAGTAACGACCGTGACGTGGGTCTGCTGCACACATCATGTTCTTAGAATCCCACATTTGCTGGGTTAGCTCAGGGACTGTCAAGGAGCGGTACTGCTGCGATCCACGAGATGTGAGGGGAGCAAAACCAACCATGAAGAAATGAAGCCTGGGGAATGGAATTAGATTGACTGCAAGTTTCCTGAGGTCAGAGTTCAATTGACCAGGGAACCTCAGACAGCATGTTACTCCAGACATGGTTGCTGATATCAAATGATTCAAGTCACCAACTGCACAATTCAAACAACCCCAGATCAGAACTCAGTATAATTGCCAGATAAACTTCTTGCCATTAAATACCAAAACCCCAGATTAAAACTCAAAATTAAACCAAAACCCAGATCTTAATTGTTTTCAAATCACAAAACTATACTACTCCACAAAAACCAATTTGAACAGAACACCAGCTTCAGAGAATCTACACAGCAAGCTTAAGCAATAAAATTTTGTTAATTTTTTGCTATCATACTCAAATATAGCTTTCAAATTTTCAAATTCACATGAAATTAAAGAGCTCAAAAATAAGGATCCCAAAAATCACACTGAACATCCAAACATACACAGATTTATGCAATTGTAACATTCAAACACCATAGTATATAAATCGAATACGGTAAATAAAGCAAGAGAGGGTAGCAAAAACATACAGCTAGGAGTAGTGAGCTTCAAAGTCCTGAAGCAGATATCATACAAAGCTTCATTATCAAGAACCATACACTCATCTGCATTCTCAACAAGCTGATGAACAGACAAAGTAGCATTGTAAGGCTCAACCACAGTGTCAGACACCTTTGGTGATGGAAAAACTGAGAAAGTCATCATCATTCGATCTGGGTATTCCTCCCTAATCTTCGAAATCAACAAAGTTCCCATCCCAGATCCAGTACCTCCTCCCAATGAATGACAAACTTGAAACCCTGCAATTCAATTTCATTTCACATCCCACACTCAGATCCAACACCAAAAACAACAACACATATAATAATTTACTTAAAAAAAATGAAAGAAATTGATTTTTTTCAGTGAGGCATTTCGTCGAATACCTTGTAAGCAGTCACAATTCTCAGCTTCTTTGCGAACAACATCAAGAACAGAATCAATCAACTCAGCACCTTCAGTGTAATGACCCTTAGCCCAGTTATTCCCAGCACCAGACTGACCAAACACAAAGTTATCGGGCCGGAAAATCTGACCATACGGGCCGGATCTGATGCTATCCATGGTACCGGGCTCAAGATCCATAAGAACGGCCCGAGGAACGAACCTCCCACAACCCGCTTCGTTGTAGTAGACATTGATACGCTCCAGTTGAAGGTCACTGTCACCATGGTATTTTCCGGTGGTGTCGACGCCATGTTCAGCGCAAACAACTTCCCAGAACTTAGAACCGATTTGGTTACCACATTGACCCCCTTGAATATGAAGGATTTCACGCATTTTCGGTCGATTAAATTGAAATTTTCTCTGTTAAAGAGGAGAGAGAAAATCAATTTTTGGGGGATTTTGAGGAGAGAGAAAATGGAAAAGGGGTGGATTCAAAAATGGAGGAAGAGAGTTTTATAGAGAGAGAGAAGGAAAGAGGGAAAACGGCTACTTTTTTACTGGGAGTAAAATTAGGGTTTTGAATTTGAATTGAAGGGTGCATCAAAATTGAGGAAATTTTGGGTAACGGATTAAAAGCAACGGCTAGGATTTATTTGGGTTTTCTAGTAAAATAAATAAATTGATTAATAAATAAATAAAATTAGATATTTTTGGTTTTTGAATTTGAATGCTTTTGGTGAAGAGTGAAGACAGCTGGTTATTTGCATGCAAGGTATGATGCGACGGCGTTTCTATCACACTGTCTAGCTTCCTTAAATTAGAGTTTTTAAAGCAAGTGGATTTATTTTATTTTATTCCGCATATTTTTTAAAAAATTTGGAGTGTTATGTGTATAAAAAAAAAAATACTTTTGGAGTGTTTGGTTAGAAGGTTTCAAGGAAAGAAAAGGGAATGGAAATATCTCAAATAGCTAGAGTGTGGGCTACACTTAGGGGCTGTTTGGTTCACCCGCGGTAAACGGAATGGAATGAACAAAGGGAATGGAAGAGAATGGAATGAAAATACTCAATATTCTCTATGTTGTTTGTTTTCAAAACCAAGGGAAACAATCCCATCATCCCACCACCACACAACCACCCCACAACCACCACACAACCACCTAATTCATTCACTATCCACCTTTTCTAGCCACCCTCTGTCCACCAAACCACCAGCCGTCGGTCGCCTCACCTTCGCCGCCCTCCGCAGCACCTTCGCCGCCCTCCGCCTCCCCTTCGCCGCCCTCCGCAGCACCTTCGCCACCCTTCTTCGGTCACGCGCAAGGATCTCTTCCCCAAAAATCAACCCAGAAAAAGCCCTACTAACATCCCAAACCCCTAGAAATCCCTCCCTCTCCCCGAAAAACCACCGTCCTAAACCTCCCCCACCCTCGAAACCCTAGCAGCTAGGGTTTCGAGGGTGGGGGAGGGTCGGACGGTGGTTTTTCGGGGAGAGGGAGGGAATTCTAGGGGTTTGGGATGTTTTTGCGTGAGGAGAAGAGAGTTTTACGGGGAGGGGGAGAGGCGGGGAGGCAAAACAAACATCAACAAAGGGAATCGGGCCAGTTGATTCCCATTCTCTTTCCTGATTACCCCCAACCAAACGGCCCCTTATTGGTATGGTGTTAACATTTATAAAAACACCTCATATCGAAATACGAATGTTTAAATACCTACTTATCAAGCTAATAAACATAATATAATGATAAAGATTGCACCTTCTAATCTTTTACTATTAAAAGTATAATTTTCATTATATTTTTTAAAAATGATAATCACTTACCCTTTTGCACTCACTTTTCAAAATGATTTTCATTAATATAAACTTAACCAAAAACCTTATTACTCCCTCCGTTTTTAAATAGTTGTTCCCCTTTTTTTTTAGTCCGTTTTTAAAATAATTGATTTATTTCAGTATTTAGAAATTTTTTACAATATTTACTCCCTCTATCTCTAATTGTTTGCTCTATTTTCCTTTTTAAGGTGTCCCCAAAAGATTGTCCCATACTATTTTTGGCATGTTTCCCTCTTGCACTCTCTCTATCTCTCTCCTCATTGATATTTGTGTCAACCCACGTGCACCATTTTTTGCTCAAAGCCTTAATAAAGTAGATTTATAGTTTGGGTCAAATAATTGGGGACAGAGGAAATAATTTATTTCTCTTAACTAGTGGACCCAGACTATATTCGACCATTTTAAATATGAAACTTATTACACCTCAAAATAAAGGAAATAGAAAAGGCCCTTAGTACTTAAGTTGGATGAGTCATGAGTAGCTAAGTCATTAGATTTGATTTCAAGCCATAGGTTATTTAATATTTGTCCATTCAATATCATTTCAAATATAAGTAAAACATTAAATAAGAGTATAAACCAACACTTTGTACTTCATATTATTTAAATGCCTCGAAAGTCTTTTTTTTTTTTGGAGGAATCATGGGTTCAAGGATCTTTTATGGGTTGTAGCTTCTAATTTTATTCTCTCATAAACAATTCATTTCAACTCTATTAAATTCAGTTTAGCTCCAATTAGTTCAGTCCTTCAACAGTTCAGTTCAACTCAATAAATCAGAACAAATCCTTACTCCATTACGTACAAAATTATCGTCTATACTACTTCTATTTCAAAATAATTACAACGATTACATATTTTGGTTTCGAATTTCACTAAATTAGTAGGTGCTTACTGAATGCTCATGATTTAATGTAAAAAACATATTTAAATCAATTTTTTCAGTTCAAAAACTACTCTGTAATAACATCTACTATGACATTGTACCATGTTCATACAAGTTTTTTTTTTTTTTCCCTAATGAATCTTACCCGCACCGATGTACTCTGTAATAACTAATGAAGTAACATACTATCTGAGAAGATTTTTTTTTTTTTTTTTTTTTTTTACATGACTTTTATGAGAAGATTTAATGATCAAGTATACCCTTATACATTATTCGAATGATCTAATATTATTCCAAAATGTCCCTATCCTACAAACATTTAATTTAACGTAAATGTGGTCTCGTATGTAGGAACAAGGCTACTTGAAAACAACAGGCTTTAGTGAAGACTTGGTAGTTACACTAAGATGGGATCCATCACCTTTCCTTTCCTCTTTATGGTGTTCACTGGTAAATTAGTTGTCAAATATCTTTGAATAACCCATTCCCATGTGCTGTCAAACTTTGTGACATCTATCAATTCTTATTTTATTTTATAATTTAGAATATGCTCTCAAATAAATCCGAGTAGTGAAAACAACCCAAAACCTGTTCTCATCACAATTCTTTCATTTTTGTTTTGTTTTTTTAAAAAAATCGATAATGCTCTCGTGTACTGTACTAAAAACCTCACAATTAAATAAAGACTTATTAACAAAACAAAAATTAATTAATCAAAAATAGTCAAATAATATGACAACAAATAAAGAGTGTATATCGCAAGAAAGCACATGCAATTGGATAAGCCTAATAAAATACCCACAAGGCCACGGTCAAATGTATAAGTGTAGGCTAATACCCACAAACCACAATAAATCGAGTGTACCTAAAAGCATATACTCTCAAATAATGCGACAACAATTCGAAAATAGATTTTTATTCCGAAAAAAAAAAAAAATACTTCTATCGAATTATTGCCGCATTATATGAGAGCATGTGCTCTCAAATGCACCTTATTAACAACAGTTGATCCATTTGCATTTAAATAAGATAAATGAACTTCCATTCTTTCTCTTTAGGATCGTTGCTTGCATTAAATTAAAAGCATGTACTCACTGGTGACTGGTACACCTAATAAGTCCCCTTCAACAAATTATAAGGTAGGTGGACCTAAAGACATTTGCTCTTGAGATAATGTGACATTAATCCAACATTAATCCAAAAATGGATTTTAAGAATATATTCTCTAGAACTGTTGCCACATCACTTACAAACATATGCTTCATGTAACACCTAATGCTTTTTAGCAACAAAATTACTAAAACTATGTCCAAATCACAATTGCACTCGAACATACGATGACACTAACAATCACACTCAGGGTATTAAATTTATCATCACTTAACAAACAGTTGTATAAGCCATGACGCGATTAATCACTAGTTTTTTTTTTTTTTTTTTTTCCAACTATGATACAATCATTAGCAGTTTTAGAAATTCTAAAAGTAACAACAATACATGCAAAAACCAACACAGTGTTACCTGATCTGCAGTGTACTGAACTGCTAACACACCAATCAGCCAAAATCAGTACTTAAATCAAATTTCTGCATCCATTACCATACTGTTTAATATATACAAACTGAATACACACAGGTAAATATAATTAGATGAAAAAATAAGTTGCAACTTGCACGAATGAGATAACAAGTGCTGGACATCAAGAGGCCTCTCCACAAAAAAGTGCAGGATTTCAGTTGTCTACACCTAGCAAAATATACATAAATAATCATACTGCAAAATAACTGTTAGGGTTAGCATCACCAAACACTGAGGACAAATTGTGAGTACTGTCAACAAGCAAAAGCTCAGCTATCTAATGAATCTAGGGGAGTTAACAGAGTCTTTACAAAAAATCAGGCTCGTATATCCTCTCTTCCCCCCGACCCAAAAAAATAAAACAAAACAAAAACTTATTATTATGCTTCAATAAAACAATAATTTGACCACTAGAACAACCTTGCTATAACACCACCACCTTAGCAGCAGAACAGCACTGCACACCTACATGAATATTGTGACCCTACCCAGTAATTATGTCTACTTAACAGGTATTTTATCCCAACAAGAACAAAAGAAGGGGAAAAAAAACCTCCCCAACAAAGTAGTTTGTGTTCAATGGCTAATGAGTAGTGCTAACCACACTCTCAACTGGATACGGAAGTATTGCCTACAATTCTACAAAAACATACAAGTATTACTTTCTATAGAAATGAACACATAAAGAAATTTCTGTTAGCCTAACAATCCACACGTTATGTTGGGAAAGAGTTCAGGAACATCAGGGGTCCAAATGCTTGTATACCATATAAAATCCACTTTCTACAGTGAGAAGTCAAGTCTTGAACTAGACTCTTAGGAGTAAGCAAATTCAGACTCAGAGAATGTCTCTATGAGCGCTTGTAGTTCACTCACTAAGCAATCGTTCAAAAGGCCATGAGAAATCTAGGAAGAATCAGGGAGATATTTATGGAATTCTACCCCATATAAGGAAAGAATGCTTTCGAAAGCAAGAAGCCAAGAATCACCATAGTACAAAATGAATTTCAGGACAAGCAATGTCAAGGAGAAACAGTCGAAAGAAAGTTTCAGCTTATTTAATTATTTCTAGTTGAGCATCAGAACAGAGGTCCATAAACATCAAACAGTAGCATATAAGTTCAAAGGCAATTCTAACTTCTGATAAATTTTCACACAAGAAGTCTTCGGTAATCAAACTAGTAAGGACAGACACTAAAATAAAATAATTTATAGCTTAGCAATATGCAATTATATCAATCAATAGCCGTGAACCAAACACCCTAAATGAAATAGGCTGTTCAATCAAAAGGAACTCTTCCATGGTCACATACGGTAGTAGACCTAGAGAACAACCAGCGAATAACAGCATAACTTGTCTTCAGAAAAATTAAATCTGTCATACACAGTTTTTGGCAATTTAAAACAAAAACCATTTGAAGCACACATACCTTCAGTGTTTCGACAGGTAACGAGGATACAATACATGACACCCCAAGGTGATGCCTCATAGGATTCTCTTAACGCACCTAGGGACAAAAGGGGATGGCAAAGCTGCATCTGCATCCTTAGGTACTTCAAACCAGACAAGAGATTCACAAACCTTTAACAGAACGAAACACCATCCTGCACCAGATTGTCTAGCCTAGTGTTTGAAAAATTACAATCAGCCTTTGATATAGCAACACTGGGGAGACAAGGAGCTGGAAGGTAACATTAAAAATTTCTAAACACCATTTATACAAAACAAGTTATACTATAAGCTTATGGAGACTAGTACTTTCTCTCAAGCATACTTATTGCATCAATTTATTGCCAAGTTCACTGTACAAAAATCTTTAACTTTCATAAGAATTCCACACGGAAAAGTACAAATGTCATAATCCTATATTCCCTCCTGTTTTCTCTTTCATTTATATGTCTACTGACCACATCAGCTTGTAGGCTTACATTTTAGTTTTCCTTGTGATTATTTAAATAAGAAATTGGCAACTAAACCCTAAATTGACCTAAACTCCATTTAAAGGATGAACTAATATCTAAAACTTACAGTACCAGCTAGGAGCTAAGTTCATATATTAACCCAAAAGTCCATTCCATAGAGTAAGACATTAAATTTGGAGATCATAACCAAGTAACAAATTTCACTGATTCATTCAGACAACATTGAATGTGTGATAAGCCTCGCATGTTTGGTCTATGGTCAGTATCACCTATTCACCTCCAGTACTTTTTTACTGGAGATACACAAGGGGACTTAAGGGACTCTTCTCTCAAGGATGGGTTTGACCTTTGCATACATGAAAGCACTATAGCAAGGGAAAACATTGCATTTACATGAATTAATCAACTACTAAAAATTCTCTGCATTCCTATACATATATATTCACATTTTTGCTCGTAGTACTAAATAAAATTCACAATTCTAAAAAAAACTTTATAATTAACATATTTCTTCCTTTCCTCTTCCATCCCATCAATACTTTCTCTATACCCATACTCTATTTTACTCACTATACAGTAAACAGCATACACTGTTCTTGGCCTTTGTTATTTCATCAAAAAATACAAGTTTTGGGAAAACAATTCAGGAAAAAACCCAACTTATATACCTACATTAAAACAAAGGCAGTCTTCACAACAAAAATAACTGAAGCTAATTCCTTATAAGTTTTTAAAATAAGATCTTATAAATAAAATTCTACTTTCTATCATAAGAACAAAGTCTAATGTGTTGATTGAGGAGCAGAGAGAAGATTAAACAAGAACACATGGTCAAGAGAGCTCTCATCCATTTGTTATCCATATATATACGCACGGGCTAACCTCTGAAGACCTGGGTATTCTAGATATTGGTAACATTCAATACGGGAACATTTCTAGGAATAAAGATAACTACACAAATCAGAATTGATACAAGCTTTACTAGGGATTTCCAAACAAATGTAGATGGTCCAGTCAATAAATATTTAGATAATTTATAGAGTTTAAAAGAAAAAAAAAAAAAAATACCCAATATAAATCCACTTTGAGAAGACATATAGAGAGAGCATTTGACATATTGTTCAATTATATGTACTCCATATCTCACCACCCACCACCAAAAATTCAAAACTAACAGATATAATAATCCTCAGTAGTATTTTGCCGAAATGAAAAGCTATGAACTCCTATACACAAAAGGCATCCTAGCTTCTAGAAATTGGAGCACCTCAAGCACTTTACAAATAGAGCTTCAGCACAGCAACAGGAATAACAAAAGCTAACACAATCGTAACCATTTGAAGGTCAGCAGAAACAGTCTCTATTGTGAACTACTTGCAGCTTTGGCAGTAAAATTGTAGATTCAATAATTAAATTAAAAAAATAAATTAAAAAAAGCCAAGAAAACAATTATTTCAGGACATATAACTGATGAGCCTTGATGCAATTGACCAAGAAAATATCCCCTACATCTATCCTTTACTCCAAAAAGTGCAGATAAAAAACATAAAATATACACAACCAACTCAATAATGCCAAAACCTTCATTGTGCAGTTTCTGTGCAAGTTCAAAAACCTATTCTATTCAGGCTATAATCTCAAAGCAGCTTTTGACGCATCCATAAGTAATTTTCATACATGTGAAGAATTTCCAGATGTCTGTTGTTCTCCATCAATTTCATAACTGGCATAAACCCAAATTAAAGCCGACTATAAGTGGCATATCATCAATTGATTTTACTAGTCATAAACTCTCTTTACTTCTTTTCCCAAGTCCTTCGGAAACAAATAACCTGATCTCACAACATGCTATGTCAGGATATCTTCACGTGTTTTTGCTGTCAAACACTTGTTATTTTTTAGCTTTCCCTAAGCATAAAAAACACAGAATGCTTACACTACAACTCAAACTGCCTAAAAACACCAGAAATATCAAAACATGTACCTATCAGGGGCCTCAAGAATCTACAGAGCCTGCTTCAGCTGGGTACAGTACAAACCTAATGCGAAACTTTGGAAGAAAAATGAAGTATCTACAGTGGGAATATTTAATCGACCAAAAAGGGCTCATGCTCTTGCAAAAGAAAGACAGACCTTAACTGAGATTGAACTCTGAAGTTACATAACACAAATGAACACCTCAAATCTCCACAAATCAAGAAAAAGATGAGCCAGCCATATCAACTGCACTAAATCTTCACTAAACTATGGTTCTTTAGTTGAGTTCAGTACAAGAGAAAACACTTAACTTCTATACAGCCAATCCAAAACTTCCTTTGTTCGTATTATTTATCTTCCTATTTATTGTGGCAACATAAACCAAGAAAAAAAGTGGGTCACTTTTTTGAATTTTTAATTAAGAAAGAGAAGGTTGTTTAAAGACCTAAATTTTATAAACCAGTAAGTGGACCGATGTGATGGGGCACAAGGGTTAATAAAAAAAATTTATGAGAGAGAATTTTAAACGAATATAGCAAAGTAGGAATATCAATAACAAACACACCTAGACAAAAAGTGGGAAAATTAAAATTTAGGAAAAAAAAAAAGAACAAATGGGGTATTCTCGAGACATTACAACTAAGATTCCATAGTAAACATGTTAAAAATAGACCCCCACACTAATTAAGAGCCCTTCGTATGACCACTTTTTTTAGTGTCCCACCCAATAACAATCATATTTGATGAAATTATGAGTCAGATGCCGAAAATACTGAACTCGAATTTTTAGAGCAGTATCTGAAAATCTTAAGTAAAGCTACCTAAAATTCAGACATTCCAACAAAATTACAGGGTAAACGAAGATTAGCTATAAATCTTAGATAAAACTATAAAAGTCATAAAACAGCAGAAAACAATGTGTAAAATAAAACAAGCAGAAATTTTCCCATAAAAACCTTTGATTTGGACATGATCTTACCACACTCTAAAGACGACTGCAAGGTAAACCACTCTGCTTTTCAGCCTTTCCTTGTCAGCATCGCCGAAAAAGACGGATTCAGTGGACATTATCTATGGTAGGAAAAAATTCAGCCAGAAAGAATAAATCAACTTAAGCACTGGCCTCATAAAAAGTAAAATGCCACAATGGGATTATAAAACCTATAATGTGAAATGGAAAATTCAAACTGAAATGAAAGAGATTTCTGTATTGACAAAAATAAGGCCTCCTACCAGAAATTAACAGACTGAAAAATAAAATAGTATCCTAACTATATATAAACAGGTTTCATTAAGTGAAACCTTAATCAAAACTGAAAGCACTTACACCTCACATCTAAATTTCATTTAAGCAACTAAATATATTACATGTTCCATCCTAATCACCATACGCCATTTGTATATGCACCACTTCTAATTTTCTATATCCTAAGCTGGTACAACAAAAGGAGTCAACTACTTTGTGGAATGTCCACTGTTCCTGAATACACACATGCAAATCAGATGAGGGAAGAAGCAAAGTAAGATTTTAGGTTTGTATCGAGTTCCCACCAAAGAACTTTTGGGATTTACTCATATTATGCAGGAAGCAACAACAGAAGATAACATTCCTTTTAAAAACAGGGAGAATCCCACTTTGTCTTGTCTAATCAAAAGTATGAGCCATGTAGCAGCGATCTCAGTTTTAGTGCATTCAATCCTATAGCAGTTTCTTGGTTTCTCCTATACCAGTATTTCACTGCAGATACACTCACTGTAATTGCTCACTTGCAAAGCCAGATACCACCCAATCTTTGACTTGGATATTTTATACATGATATTTTCTGATATTTCCCAGCTCACAAAACAACTCCATAACTTTATAATCACGCACTATAAGTGTCCAATCCTATCATGTCCCCTATATCATCATACAATCAAATAGTAAGTTTATATCTTCAGGCTCTGTATCACTTGCAAAGCCAGATACCACCCAATCTTTGACTTGGATATTTTATACATGATATTTTCTGATATTTCCCAGCTCACAAAACAACTCCATAACTTTATAATCACGCACTATAAGTGTCCAATCCTATCATGTCCCCTATATCATCATACAATCAAATAGTAAGTTTATATCTTCAGGCTCTGTATAACAAAAAGAAGTTTCCAGCTTAATTTTAGTAAACAAAATTAAAAAAATTACAAATAAGCAAATGAAAAAAAAAAAAAAAAAAAAAAGAACCTGCTTACTGTCACAATTTCACAACACCTCATATATTTAACTCTCCAAGCTTTCATACAACAAAATACATAGTCCTAGTATATTTCATAAAAGTAATAAATCTCCAACTAAAAGATAAGAAACCAATTCCATTTAATAACTATTTGTCTTTTTCCCAGAGTCACACCTGCTCTGCAGTTTGCACTTTGTTCTCCAATCTTCACAGTCCTTGATAAAACCCAAATTAAGAATAAAAATTATTAAAAAAAAAAAAACATACTTCCTCCGTTCCCTTAGTATTGGGACATGGGGAGAGGACACGGGTTTTAGGAAGAGGAGAGAGATAGAGAAAAAAAAAGGGGGGGGGGGGGGTCCATGTGATGAGGGGAGAGAAAGAGACAACATATGCAAATAAGGAAATGTTGCAATATTTGTGAAACTTCCTAAAATGGTAGTTGTTGCAATATTTATGGAACAAGAGGAAGTAGTATTTAGCTTCACTGAAGGAAATGAATATATAATTACCCAATACAAAGGAATAGAATGGTGTAGAGACCATATTCTAAAAACTAAAAAAATAAAAATCCATCCTCATCAGCCAAGCTATAGGAAATGACACAACCCATAAATAACTATCGCATCTACGAAGATCAAAAGCCTTCCTTTAGAGGGACGACTCAATCATTTTACTCACCCTTTGGTCAAGGAAAAGCGAATTGCCTGCTTCCAACCTTCAATTTTATCTCTTATCTATTCCTCAACATTTTCATCACTCAATCCAATTCCAAGGTTATAATCAAAATTTTACCACCATTTTCTTATCCTTTCATTGAACACCAACCACACTCTAAACTACACCAACATGTTACCCTTAATAATCAAGTGAAACCCTACAGTGGAAAAAATAGAGGTGACTACTCGGGATTTGAATAATTATCCAGACTGCACCTTTTATACAATATTTTATACATATGTATTTCAACCTGACCAAAAGAATATTTCTTAGAAAATAACTAGTTAAAATAATTTGGCTTTCTCAAAGTTCAGAAAATCACTCTACATAACAATGCAGAAATGCAAGCTAAAATTATTAATTTGTCATATCAATGCAGACATAATATTCTGACTTTCTGAGCTTATTGAAGCACAATTTGTCAGTGAACAAATAAATAAAAACCTTGACTTTTATAGGTATTCTGCAATTAAACTTTGCACGCTCTACAATTTTCATCTCCCAACAGATTTTGAGTGTGTGTCATTAATGGACGCAGAGTGAGCAAAAACCCAATCTCAGTTAAATGACAAAGATCTCCTGATGCAAGTACATTGCTAAAAATTCCCTAGGAAATGTAAGCAACCAAAAAGAAAGAAAGAAAGAAAATTATTTAAAAATCTACAAAGTGTCAAAGTGATGTGAAACTTGTGGCCGAAAAAATGTTGAAGACAGCAGTGTAGCAAGATGATAGGAAAGTTTAGCCAAAGAAGATAGGGCTCAAAAGAATGGAAATCAAAATTTAAGATTGAATACAAATCCAAAAAAGAAGACAATAGGTCAAACGGTACACAATGCTCATGCTGACAATGGATGCCCAAACAGGAGCTCATAAAGAATTGTTTGAGTAATTTTTTTATGAAAGACTTCAAAAATCAGAGAATAAATACCACATAAAATCAAGACTTGACATTTAAAAGCTCCCATTGTAAAAATCCTCATGATTCAACTAATTTTTCAAAAACCCACAGCTTAAAAACAAAGTGAACAAGATTCAAACATAATCTTCCACATCAATATCCTGAAAGGAAATCATTGACCTTCTGTGGTAATTTGCACCCAGATTTACATAGCTTCTTCAAATAGTTACTAACCCAAAAAAAAATATTATTGTCCCAACACCATTAAACCAAATAGACAGGATCGCTAGTTCGCTACAAACATTTGAACAGCATCACAATTAATGAATCAAGAATCAGCAGCTCAGCCACCCCAAAACTTTCCCACAAACGTACTAAACTTCTTGGAATATCAGTGAACGTAGGGTGAAACCATCAAACCTCCAAAAGCTAAAACTTAAGACATAAATACTTAATATATATATATATATATATATATATATATATATATATATATATATATATATATATATAAGATTCAACTGTATTTCACTCATCCTCTCTTATCAAAAACACCACACTTTATTCCCATTTTCCAATTGCTATAGGCCACAAATTACAGTCAGAAATTTTTTAAGACAGAAAAAGAAGATGCTGTCAAAATGTCATGAACTTCACTTATAGGCAATAAAGGCAAACTGTTTTCGGGCTGAGTGGAGAATGGAGTGTACAACAGACGATAAAAATGTGGTCACACAATCTGACAATGATTACCCGTTAGGTGGTGATCGATACTTGAAAGCCAGCGGGTGAAATCATCTTACACAAATTAAACTTTTTTGAAGAAGTGGGAGGAGATTGACAGGGCAAGGATTATATGAACAAAATTGTAGACAGAGTAAGAAGAAAACTTAAGGAGGGGATAAAAGGAGAGGAAAAAAAGAAGCAAAGAAGACTACGACGTAAGAAATAATTCACTTCCGATAACCACACTTTTCTGATGAACTAACAAACCATAATTATAGAATTAGCCACATGTCACATCATTGCACTGAAGATACATATACTTTATTAGTGAAGAGATAGCAATTACCACTTAAACAAGGGGCGAGTATACATTCACGCTAAACATATTCAATCTCCAAAATATTTAGCACAAAGTCAAACAAAGTAACTTAACTGCCACTGATACTTCAGTCCCAAAATACCATCTCCACTAACATAGCAGCAACCTGAAATGACAAAACTGGCATAAACCAACCAGCAAAAGAAAGAGATACAGAAAGCTGCATCACCTACTTCACTAAACGCAAAATACTGAAGGAACAAATTCAGTCTGTCAGCTACAAAACCACTGGATTGCTTGTCAGCCAAAACAATCATCAAGCCTTTAACGCTTATTTCCTCGACCCTGAAAACTGAAATTCTTTGGCCTGCCTGCATCTCTTCCTTCAATTGAACCTTGATCTTTTGATATCCTAAGCAACAAAGACAACCAACAAATTATGCCTTACAACAAGAACTAGAGCACCCCCTTCTCAATTCTCAACATCCTACCCACTAAACAGCCACCACCCAAACCATAAAAACAGCGACACATAAAAGGTAGAATAATGTACAATATACAGCATATGCAGTAAAAGACAACTTCTACATAGACTTACTTCTGTTTCTTTTTATTTGACTGCTTGATGCTTAAGACCATATCCCTAGCCTTTCTCTGGTGCTCTCTTGATTGTGAATGCAAGTCCAAGCCTTCCACGGTTCCACACTCCACTTTACAAATACGGCACATGATGCTTCCAGGTTTCCGCTTTCTTGGGTTATCAAAAGTATCCATCTCCTCCTGAAAAAAAAAAAAAAAAAAAAAACACCAGAAAAATCAGGCATCAAAAGAAGTATTAAACATCTGGGAAACAATCTTCTATAGTCAATATTACTGAAACAAACAAGTACTTACTGGAAAAAATCCACCATCACGTCCATAACGATTAAAACCAGAGCTGCCCCTGAATCCATGCTCTCCTACCAGAGGGTGCCCTGGCTTTTCACCTCCAAAGGATTCGCCAAAGGGTAGATGACGTGGAAAATTCCCTGCCAGAGGGGGTTCTCCCATCCGGGAATGACCCCCAGGGAGTCCAAAAGCAGTCCCTTCTCCCATGTGCATATTTCGAGGACCCATATGTTCTCTTCGTAAATGATTAGGCAACATATCTGGATTACGTGGGCCACCAACCAAATGATCACTTAGCTCACCCCTTTGTACATGATTTGGTGGAATCGGAAACCTGTTCTCGTGCATTGATTTCCCAAATGGTTCAGTGGGAAAATTGTAGGGTCTGGAACCTTCAAAACGTCGTGATTTGTTTCCCACATCATCCCCAAAGGCTCCAAATGTACGAGAAGGAAAACCTGGAAAGTCCCTACCTGGACTTCTAGGCGGAAAACCATCCATTCGGGGCCGTCCAAATCCAGGACCAGGAGCTGGTCCAGGAAAATCAGGACGATGCCCAAAATCCCCTCTCCCCATGTCATCATCAGGAAACCCTGCAGTTCTGCTCCTTTCACCAGCATCATTAAGATGAAATGGAGGCAGAAATCTTGAAGGACCAGAACCAACACCAGAATCCCTTTTCAGTCCAGAATCATGATTGAGTCCATGTGGCGCCTTGTCAAAGGGCCTCGGCATTCCATCTCCACCAAACATATGAGAACCATGATCAAGTGGTCTAGATGACGGCAAATGAGTACCATATTTAGATGAAGGCCCAGCTTCAAAATGAGAAGGTCTAGGGAATTTCCTCGAATCGTCTTCAAAGTCCCTGTGAGGAAAGGGTTTCAAACGCTCCTCAGGAAACATCTTACCCCTTTCATCCATCATACCACGCTCCTCAGGAAATTTCATAGCTCCAGGCTGGATCCCAGGATGAGCAGGCCCATAAGGAGCTCGATCCATGGATCCATGAGGGAGGGAATCTGGCTTTCTACCATCAAAATATCCAGGCCTGTGAGCCTGAAACTTTTCATTTTCCATCATATATGGAGGACGCTGCTCAGCATCAGCACGTTCTCTACCCCCTACACCAACAAAAGGTTCCCCTGGAAGATTATGAGGTTGTCCAGCTTGGTAAGGTGGCATATTTCCTTGATGATAACCCATATTACCAGGTCTAACAAAGGGTCCTGATGAGGCAGGGCCCAGATTTCCTCCGGATGCAATTTCATGAGGGGTAAGACCATGAGGATGCTTTGGAATAGATGTCTGGGGAATATCAGCTGCATTGAAAGGCGGTCTAGGGGGAGCTTGTCCAGGTCCTTGAGGCCTTAATTGACCAGGTTGAGAACCCAACCCAGGCTGCTGAGTAATTGAAAGTTGAGGTGTTGACTGAGGCATAGACGCAGCACCAGGTCTGTGTTGGGCAGAAGGCCCATACTGCATTGACTGCATTTGATTTCTTCCCTGGTCAACGGCAGGAAATGAATTAGTGCCATGAACTTGCGAGTTTAAATGTGAATGAGGCATATTGGAGACAGCAGCTGCTGCATCTCCTGCACTTTTGGCTGCATGCTTTAAGTCTTGTACTTCAGCCTTCTTTCGGGCATCTTTATGGGTATCAGAACCAATATTAGTTGTGTTATTACCATTTGAGAATTCTGTTGCATCCTCTGAAGCATCTCCCTTCATCCTTTGTTTGCGTTCTTGATTATCACTTCCTAATAAATTGGACCCTGTAGCAGCTAATTTACTTTCATTCTCGTTCCCATTACCATCCAGGGCATTTTCTGATTTTAATTTATTTTCAATCACCTGAACCCCTGCACCAGACTCCTTGTTAGGATCATTTTGATCACGAGGCTTCTCACCCCCCGTTGCTTTTGGAAATTGTTGAGGATGACCAGCCTTATGTTCAGAGGCAGTAGATAGCTGACTGTCTGTTCTCATAGGGTAAGCCTGATTAAGCTGTGGAGGCCTAACCTGACCAGCACCAGCAGCCTGGAGATGTGGTTGTGATCCAGCTCCTTGTGCGGTCACTGGTCTAGCTGCATAGTTTTGAGCAATATTAGGCTGAGCAATATACCCTGGTGCATAATTTTGCTGAGAATGCTGTAGCATTTGAGGAGGGCCCTGAGCATGTAATTGAGCTGCCATAGGTGGCTGTGGCTGTGTAAATGGACCATGGCCAGGGAATGGCTGCTGTTGCCCAAACTGCTGTGGAGCAGCTTGCTGTGCAGCCTGCACACCAGGACGATGCTGAAACGGATATCCAGGCTGCTGGGAATGAGGATAAACAGGGAGCTGTTGCGATGGAGGCCCGCTTGGAGGCTGAACTTGTGCAGATGACATAGTTGGCTGTTGTTGCACTGCCACATTAGAATAAGGTTGAGAAGAATACATCTGAGATGGTTGTGAAGGAAACTTCCCTTGTATTTGCCCAGGGTACTGAGGTTGTGGCTGGGCACCAGATGCATGCATTGGATGAGCAACTCCCACCTGTGCTTGCGGATGAGGCTGTGGCTGCGGATATGATTGGTAACCAGTTACAGCGCTCTGAGTCTGAGGCTGGGAATTGGGATTCAAAGGCTGGTTTTGTTGAGAAGGTGGGTGGGCAGGTGCCTGCATAATCTGTTGAGAATGAGCCTGTGGCTGTGTGTAGGGGTAATGCTGGGTTTGAGTTTCTGACGGTGGATAAGATTGGGCATGAGGATGAGTTTGCTGGTACTGAGGCACTGGTGTCTGCTGCTGAGTAATGGGCTGTGGCTGAGCATAAGGTTGAGCCTGGGGTAATGGCTGAGACTGGTTATATGGAAGGGAATGAGATGGAGGTGCTTGACCCTGAACCTGCATTTGAGGTTGCGCTTGACCCACTGGCTGGACTTGGGACTGAACACTGGCTGATGGTTGGAAATTTGTTTGCACAGAAGGCTGCGCAATTCGGGATGGAGCTTGGGGCTGCTGTTGTGGCTGGGTCTGCTGTTGTGGCTGGGTCTGCTGTTGTGGCTGGGGCTGAGCATGAGGCTGAGCCTGCTGCTGAGCTTGAAGTTGGGGTTGAGCCTGAGCTTGACCAGAAATCTGGGTCTGAGCTTGACCATATGCCTGAGGAGGATAACCTTGCGTGGGTTGCTGTGGATACTGTTGAGCTCCTTGTTGATATTGATAATAATATTGATAGTTCTGTTGGTAAGGATCATATCCAGGATACTGCTGATAATACTGCTGGTATTGCTGCTGGTACTGTTGCTGTTGCTGATACCACTGCTCAGCAGTTGGCATGGCAGCTTGTGCAGCCTGTGGTTGCCCAGCTGTACTGACTGTTTGGTTATCCTGACCAGATGCAAGCGAAGCAGAAGCTTGTGATGTCTGAGCTTGAGAAGCAGGTAAGACTGCCTGAGCTGCAGTCTGTGCTTGATCTGCTACAGCGCCTGTGGATGTGCCATCCTGAGCATTACTTGGTTGTTGGGCCTGAGACTGCACGCCCTGATTTGGTACAATTTAGAGTGAGATTTTAAATAAAAATATAAGTCAATAGGACAAAGACAACCAGTACAAAATAGAACAGAGCAGTAAATACATTTAAACTTACAGGACAGCTTTGTGCATGCTCTTGCACTTGGCGGTGCACAATCTGAACTCCACATCTGTTGCATAGAACTGGCGACTCCCCAAATGAACATGTTGAACAATGAGATATGCAGTCAGATAGAGGACCTTGCCATGTACATCCAGTCCGATAGTAGAGGCAATGGACTTGTATTTTTCCAATTGTGTCTGCCAATGTTTTATTTGACTCCAGCAGTGGCTGTGACAAAAGAAGAAATAAATCCACAATAAAAACACTTCAGATTCTCCATACAACCAGTCAGAAACCAATTGTGATTAAGATAATAAAGGCATAACACCTTGCAATCGGCTTCAGTCACCCTGTATCCATCATAAGGACAAGCATGTGTAGTGCTGACAACATAAGTCAGGCAAGGTTTGCAGTAAAGGTGAGTGCATGGCGCTTGCAAAGCCTCATTCGGGTAGACAAGAAGGTGACACACAGGACAGAAGTATTCTCCAGCAAGTGATTGAATATTTAAAATGCAATCATTATCAAAACCCATTGACCTTAGCAAACTCTGCAACAAAACCTGGATTACCTGCTATACATTCAAATTAAATTCGAGGTCAAGCCTTAATTTATAAATGAATAACAGTAAAGCTAAATGCAAAATTCAATCCCCAAAACAAGCATGACACCACCAAATACTATAATAAGATTGTAATAAATGCATAAACTTGCAAATGTGCGAGATACGTAACTGACTTGATTCGGCAGCCCTGAAACTGAAAGTTCAGTATTCTGGGATCTTTAGCGGGCCCGTAACAACTCATATAATGGGATCATGCTATCATAGACATTACATGATGACGCCTCTACCAAAATGAACAAACAAAACAATCTGATGCATCTACAACACTTGAATATAAATAAAACTGACTAAAAAAAGTCTTCCTGGTACCACACCAAAGTTATCAATACAGATCACAATTTTTATAAACAAACCCACTAGCTAAAAGTTCTTCAGTTACAGGTTATTTACCAATCCCTTTGTCCTAGAAAAGAACAAAGTTACTATTTTGAGTATCCAAAAATGAACTTCAAGTGTAATGCTTCATATATAATCCACCATGAATCCAAGCTCCCTACTCCCTCAAAATCCCATCAGCCTTCCTACTCCCTCCATACAACACCTTTCAAGGGTAACAAAAAATCCAAGCTCCCTGCCAACCTTGAGTATTCCGTTCTTTAAAGCGAACCGTTCATTCGCCTCATTCTCTCTCTCTCTAAACGAGTAACATTACAAAATCAACCAAATGTGAAACTACTAAGCAAAAAAAATTAAAGTGACCAACATCATTTCAATTGATAAGTCATCAACAAAGTACATTGAAGCAACACCATTCACAAACAAAATATAAAAAGAAAAATCAAACGAAAATGAAAAATCAAATGACACTAGAAACCATTTCATGAAAGAGTAACATGCATCAACTCCATTAAAGAAGGCACTAAACAAAGCGAAATTCACCACAGAAATCAAATTTTGAAACAAAATCAAAATTCAACAAGATTATAGCACAAAATACAAGAAAACGAGAGAGAAATCGCAAAACAGCTAAATGTAAGAAAATCTTACCGGACGAAGCCGAAAATTTCCAATAAATTCAAAAGATCAGTGTTCTTCGTCTGCTTGAAATATGAATTCGAAATAGAATTGCTCCTTAAAAAGCTCAAAATTAATTCGCAAACATAGTTAATTTGGGATAATTTACCTGTTCAGTAGAACTAGGGTTTGGGGAGAGTGAAGACAAGAGGAGAGAGAAAGGGAGAGATGAAAGGATGGTGAATTTGGGCGTTTTTTTTCGGTTAATTTCTTGTCAGCGAAAAAAAGTAAAATGATGGTGCTCTTTCCAAATGGCGAAGATGGGCGAATTGTGTATTACTTGGGCTATTGAAGCCTTTGTTTGGGCCAGATGTGAACTTTCAATTTTTCATTGATTTCTTAAGATTGTTCTACCTCCTCATTTTCCATTTGTGAATTAGTAGAATTGGGATTGTGTGAATTACTTAATTACTATGATAGAGTAATTATCTTTCCTTACAAAAATAAAATTAATTATTTAATACGAAGTAAGTAATTATGTTGGGAATAAATGGGGAAAAAAATGTCGAGAATCAATGGTTTTAAAAAATTAGACTATTTCGAGTATTGTGTTTATATTTGATTGAGTTTTACATTTAGCCTTATGGTCAGCTCTAATCTATTAAACTGAGCTGAATTGAATTGTTTATGAGAGAAGGAAATTATGAACTGAATTGAAATTAAGCCAAAGAAAACATGCCCTTAGTCTAAGTAACCTTTTAATGGTGTGTTGTGATTCTTATATGCTACTCCCTCTGTTCCATGATGTTTTTTACGTTTGGAATTATGCACGGTTATTAAGAAATTGTGTAAAGTTGAGGTATATTGGAATATTTCAATGATTGAAAGTACAATTTTATTGCTAAATATAATGTTGATCATGTGGGGTGAAGAAATTAGAGGAGAGAGAAAGTAATAATAAGTGTTGAAAAACTATTAAAATAGTACAAAAAGTACAATATCACATGGAAAAGTAAGGACTTTTGAGAAAAAAAATGTAAAACAAGGGTAATTTTGTCCAAAATTTATGACTAAAATAGGAAATATACTAAATGTAAAGAATAAAAAGGAACACCCTAAATGGAAACGTAAAAAACATTTAGGAACGGAGGGAGTAGTGTCTTGAGGTGTTGTGTTGATTATAATGACAATGGTGGCTCATGGTTGAGTTTGGTGAGACGATAGTCGTCATTACTCTATGGAATTTTTGTAACGTATAGTCGTGTACTCGCATTGGGGGCGGGAAAGACTTTGTTTGTCTTGATTGCCTTGACTGTAAAACAACAAGGTTAATTATTTATTGTATCAAAATTAATAGCATATCCTCATTGATTTATGTCGTTACTGTGATTTTCCATTTGTTATATTAGTTTTTATTGGCAATAGACTTTGCAATTAGTCATTTTTCATTGCTATGACTCTTATGAGTCCACTATTTGACAACCTACATACAGTAGTAATAAATAAAGTGGATAAGTCATACAAGGTTTTGTTTGGGCCGATTGTGAACTTTCAACTTTATATTGTTCTACCTCCTCATTTTCCATTTAAGGATTAAAAATTTCTTACCAATTGCAGAAAAATAAGCAATCATAAAAATTAATGAATATGAAAATGAATACAATTAATGTTCCTGTAACTAGATTAACGAGTATTGATTTCATGAATAGTCTAGTATATTTGATGAAGTTAAACACGTAGTACAAGTAAGCTACATATAGCAAGTTGAGGTCTTATATGTTAGCACTTGGAAGGCATTATATATATATGTTGGTCATGGGTGTCAATGGTGGTTTGGAATTGAGCTAGTCAATCGTATGGCATATTTGTGAAGTCAATAGAGTTGGCGCCCTTGTCCACATAAATACTCGGCTCGCGCGTGCCTTGATTGCATAACGACGACAAGATTAATTATTGCAACAAAATTAACATCTAAGCACGATTGATAATGTGATTTTATACTTGTTGAATTAATATTAATGATAGACTTTGCAATTAGTCATTTTCATTGAATATTTGTCCGATCTCTAACAACTTACATAGGGTGATTAGAAGAAAAAGAGTGTGTAAAATCAACAAACATATAAGTGTATAATTTGTGTAGAAATATAAATTATATTATGCAATAATAAAGAACGATCTTCATGTTTAGTAACATATTGCCTATTGTGTTTATTTAATTAATGAAGTCGGAAATGTAGTGTACAGATGAAGACAATTGAGTCTATCTTATTAAGTGTACAGGTACAAATCGTTTCCTAGTATTTTGAATGTTTACATCCAGTTTTCACTCTATATACATTGTATATTGCTGATCACAATCCTCAAATGTTAATGTCTATTATAGTGTTGTACAAAATTTCAATGATAGTTTAGCATGAAATTAAGCTCGGTAAATATCAATCAAACCACATTTGTATAGGGTATCATGCCTTGATTGTCCTTGTTGTAATATGACAAAATTCATGATTGTATCAAAATCAATAACCTCCACAAACTTCGATGTCTTCAATGTGAATTTTCATTTCAAGAATTAGTACTCGATGAAATAGCATATACTTGCGTGTCATTTGTATCAATATGAATTTCACATTCATTAAAAAAAGGACACATATTTTTCTACTAAATTTCCTTGTAAAAATGGTATTGTAACTATTTCATTATACATGACGATCATAAATCAAAGTGAAAAAAATCTACAAAGTATATACATGAATTAAACTTGATATGTTGGAATAAAAAACTGTCTTTCACGGTAAAAATAGGTGTCTACGCCAATTTTTACAAAAATGCAACACTCATATGGTAATATATATGGTGCTCACTAAATTAAAAAGTATCGTATTGATTTTTGTTGCTCTTTAAATCTTTTTGTCATCCACATCACTCCTAGCTAGATGTTAAATCAAGGGATTGACTTGTTTCATTGAAGTATATCTATATTTCTTTTTGTAGTTTGCAATCATATAAGTTGTATTTGTTGTGTTCACATATGTATGTTTGACTATATATAGTCTGCACACAATACTCTCATCAATTCACACAACAATTCAAATTACAACACCTCAACACTTATAAAATTAACAAATAAATCTAATTTTATTTTGCAAAAGACCTAACACTAATACAAAGTTGTACATTTTCAATTTTTTCATAATATAACCCTTGCCTTGAGCTAGGCGATTAGACTTCATAAATAAATGATTTCAATTATTACTCCGTATTTAATTATTAAAAATACATGATTTTTTTTTTTCACACTTATCTCATTATTAATTGATAACAATACAACTTTGAAATGGTTATTTATAGTTTCCTTCTCAAATGAAGAAACATCTACGATTTCCTCAAAGAAAAAAAAAATTCTACGATAATCATCATTGACAAAAATCCTAGAGATAATGTCTATCTTGACAAATGTGATGGGAAACAATTATATTTCGTTTATTACTTCACCATTTTTTGGTCAAAAGTCTTTTCATTTTGTACGACAATCTTTATACTTATAATTACAAACACTCTTGAATCATACACAAGAAACTACTATGAAATTGAATGAGGTATCATGATGGACCACTACCAGTAGGGGTGTCAACGGGGCGGGGCGGGGCGGATTTTGGCATTCCCATCCCCATCCCCGCCTCACATTTTCATCCCCATCCCCATCCCCATCCCCATGTCGGGTCTGAAAATAATCCCCGTCCCCGCCCCGGCGGGTCCAACTCTAAAACCACCCCCGCCCCATCCCCGTCCCCGCCCCATACCCGCCAAACCCCCACCCCATACCCGCCAAACCCCCGCCCCATCCCCGCCAATTCCCCGCCCCATACCCGCCAACTTAGTATTGAGAAAAGCAACTGTCTTTCAAGTTTCAAGTGTCAACTGAAACCCTGCAGACTTCATAGTAGACTAATGAAAAAGTAGCAGTGCATACAAATCCCATTAACTCAAATCCAACAAAAACCACTGCAAGATCAACCATTTTCATAAAGTGCAACACCTTAGGCATACATACTACATTACTACATATTAAAAAACTTAAAATTAGTAGTACATAAGAGAAAAAAAAAAAAACACTAACTCCAAATTGTCCAAAGTCCAAATATTAAAAATAACTACAAGTCTACAAATATTCAAATACATAACAAGAAATTCATTAGGCCTTGAATTATTCGGTGCAAAGTCCACTTGTTCCAGAATCGATATCACATGTTTCAAATCCTTCCTCTAATTCTCCCACTAATTTAGCATATTCATCATCCTTAAATTCTCCACAATCTGCAAATACAATGTGAATTAATTAAAATAAATAAATAAATAAATAATATTATTAATTAAATAAAATTTTATTTTAGCTATTTACTTTTAGAAGCAGCCCATATCCAATTTTGAGTACACATCAAAGCTTCTACAGCTTCCGGTAAAAGCCGACTACGATAAGGATTAAGAACCCGACCACTTGTGCTAAATGCGGACTCTGATGCAACAGTAGAAACAGGAATGCTCAATATATCTCGTGCTATTTGCTGAAGAATGGGATATGTGCCTCCATTTGTCTTCCACCAGTTAAGAATATCAAAATCTTGGACTAGAGGCACATTAGCAGCACCTAAATACTTATCCAAATCTGATATATCATGACTTGAGTCCTTATCTTGTTGTAAAAATTCAGCAAATTCTTGCATAAAGGTCTCTTCATTGGATTTGCTACTACTACCCAAATCAAAAGCTTGTTGGTTGCTACTACCTTGAGTTTTACCCATCTTAGACCCATATTCATCAACCAATCTTCGTAGAAGATCACTAATTCTACTAACCTCAATTTCAAAGTCATGCTCATCAAAAATTTTTGCAAAATAAAAGCGAATAAGAGCCATTTTGTATCTAGGATCTAGTATTGTTGCCACTCCCATTAAGCCATTCACACTAGCCCAATACTTGTTATATTTTTGTAACATAATGTCGGCCATTTTCCTTACATAATCATGAGGAGATAAAAGCCAACCAGAAATAGCAATTCTCAAAGCACAAATTTTAGGAAAATAAAGATTGGCCGTAGGGTAATTTGTTCCTGAAAAATTAAGGGTAGTTTTACTAAACACTTCCAAATGTTCACATATTTTCTCAACTTTTTCCCAATCTTCAGGGGTCGGTGGATTCTTATATAAATTATTACGAGCACTTAAAACAACAAACACTTCTTTATAACTAGTAGCAATAGAAAGCATTTCATAAGTAGAATTCCACCGGGTTTTGCAATCAAGTGCTAACTTTCTACTACACTCAGGAGTTATTTGCTTAGCCACTTGTTCAAACCTTTGTACTCTCTTATCAGAAGCAGTCCAAAACACAACACTATCCCTAATTCTTTGAACACCATTTGATACCACAGCACTTAAACCATCTTGAACAATCAAATTTAATATGTGAGCACAACAACGCATATGAAAAAAATCACCTCGCAATAAAAGTGAGCCATATGGAAACACTCCTTTCAAAATTTCCATCATTGCATCATTAGTTGAACAATTATCCACGGTTATAGAAGACAACCTAAGATCAAGATTCCATGATTGAATGCTTTCTTTCAAAGCATCAGCAAGAACCTCAGCAGTATGAGGGGCGGGGACATATAAAAACCTACCAAAACCAATGAAAATAACATATATTATTTGTCTATTCAATACTATTGTGGATATATGGGCTCATTATTATCATCCATCATCACAACTTATAATTCTTATGATTTTAAAATTCACACAAAAAACTATAGCAATACAAAGACAACCAAAAAAAATAAACAAGTTATAAGTAACCAGAAAACAATACCTTATGATCCGACTTTGCAACTTCCATGTATTATCAATAAAATGTGAGGTGACCGCCATATAACCTTTTCTCTGGTTGTCAGCTGTCCACATGTCAGTAGTTAAGGCAATCTTACCCTTTGCTTTCCTCAACAAGGTTGCAACATTCTCCTTCTCAAGCTCATATCTTTTCATAATATCTTTTCTAGTTGTGTTGCGAGACGGCACTTTAAATCCAGGTTGGAGTGTCTTGCTATATTTTCTAAAACCAATATGCTCAACCATGCTAATTGGATACTCATGCAAAATAATCATCTCTGCCAAGTCTCTTCTTCCATCTTCTTGGTGGAATTCGTAAGGAGCCAATGTCATCGTGTCATTCTTATCATTCAAGTTTTTTTTTGTACCAAACATTCTTGTTTGTCGAAGATCTTGACATACTCTCTTTGGACATATTTTTATATGATCTTTCAAATGAGTAGTTCCTGCTTTTGACCCACCAGCAAGTAGCTTGGAGCAATGGTTGCACTCAGCTTTTATCACATCCCCAACTCTCTTTCTCTTAAAATCAGACCACACTGCCGAAGTATGCCTACTAGTAATTGGTAGGAGAGAAGGATCGGAATTAGTCTCTAGAGGACTTTCATCATCATCTATTGCAATTGGAGTATTACTAGCGGAAGTGGGAACACTAGCGTTATTCTCATTTTTAGATGTCATTCTCCCCTGTAAAAATTAAATAAAGACAATTAATGCACTAGACATATTGACTACAGTATTGAACACATTTGACATCTCAGAAACAGCAATAATAAATTAATAATAGCAAATTAGCAATGCACAGCAGCAAAGGCAGATCATGCTTCTAGCACAGCTATCGGAAGATATCATGTTGAAAGGCCTATCAATGCATAATGTCATACTGTAACTGCTATGTTAATATATTGTTGCTGCTGCATAACCAGTTAACCACCTATCACACTAAGTCACTAACCACTACATACTGGCTGCCAGCAACAACATCACCAAATTTAGTACTCTCATTTTGTAAGAAAGAGGGAGACAACAAACACAAACACAAGGACATCAAAATATAGTACAGTAGTTGTACAATTTGGTGTCTCAAAGTCTTCATTCTTAAAAGCTGTCAGCTTACGACATTAAAGATCCAACCTGTTCTTCCACTCTATCTATACACACCCACTTTCTTAACCACCAAAATCAGCACCTGATTATCCATCCACATTTTCATTACCCCAACTCAATTTGCATACATTGTGATCAATTTCATCAATATTGAGTACTACTTAAATTACAGTATAACAACAATAGTATGATACTATGATAATAGTTTGAAATTCATTTCTCACGCTTTTATACAATCTCAATAACAAAGAATACAACAAAATTTGAAGAAAATTCTTACCTGGGTTATTTAACAATTCTCAATAGAAATTGCTCCAACTTCCCCCAATGACATAATCCGAATTTAGTTATCACACATAAGCTAAAATAATAAACATAAACTTATAAGTCTGAAATTAATGAGAAAAACTAATTACAATCTATACATATTTCGACTTTATTATATCTATTTTGTGAAATTAAATATAAAAAAACAAGTAATGAAAATTCTAGATTAAAACCCTAATAAACTAAAAAATTTAGAGGTCATCATATTCATACATTATCATACAAAAAATAACAGTAATCAACTACATTGCATTAGATTGAAAGTATCATACAAATATAACACGAAACCCTAGCTCAATCAAATGAAATATTGAAAACCGCAATCGAACAAATCATAAATAAAAGACGAATCACATACTTTCAATCGAAAACCCAATTAAGAAATTCTTAATTGAACATATTGAATTAAGAAAATTCAAAGATAATAATGCGAAAACGTTTACCTAAATTGAATGAGTTGCAGCCTTGCAAGATCGAGGTTGAAGAAGAAGGATCGAAGAGATTTGATTGCAGACGAGGACCACGAGGTTGAAGAAGAAGGATCGAAGAGAGGGGTTTGAGGCTTGAGGAAGAGATTCAGCGCAGTGAGACTGTGAGTCTCTGAGAGGAGAGAGTGAGGCAGTGAGAGGCTAGGGTTTTTGTTTTGTGAATGACTGAATGAGGGTGGGTATTGGGTAAGTGGGTTACTGGGTTAGATTTCATTAGGTGTAGTTTTTTTTTTTTTTTTTAATCGTATTATGCTATGGCTAGTCGGGTCTTATGCGGGTATGGGGTGGGTATAAAGCGGGTATGGGTCGGGTATGGAGTGGGTCAGGCGGGGCGGGGCGGGTACGGGGTGGGTCAGGCGGGGCGGGGCGGGGCGGGTATGGGGCGGGTCTGGGCGGGGCGGGTATTACATAACAACCATCCCCGCCCCATCACCCATGGCGGGTATGGATTTTAGACCCATCCCCGCCCCGCGACCCGCCAAAGCTAGACCCATCCCCGCCCCATCGGGGCGGGGATGGGGCGGGTCTCCTACTAGACCCGCCCCAGTGACATCCCTAACTACCAGGTAGGGACTCTCATGCCTAATACTTGGGGGTATATTTGTCATTCAACATATATTGGATAGTAACTTCATTAATAGTTACCACATGAGTTGACAGTAATAAAAAGTAGTTTCTCTCTCATACTTTTGGAAAAGATACCACCATTGTTTTCAATCTATCATTGCCGCTTTCCTCCATTAACACCACCACCAAAACCAAAGAAAATCACCATTATCATCATCATCATCATCATCTTCTTCATCAATTACATGATGGTTTAGATTATTGCACCGCCTTACCACCACCACTATCGGATGTCCAATAACAGTGTACAAATCAATAGTAGTAGTATACAATCAACAATAACAGTTTATTAATTAACAATAACAGTACAAACTTAACCTAAACCAAGTTATAAAACGATAACATTTAAATCAAACCCATGAAATTTCCAAAAAAAAAAACAGAATGCGTAAACCCAGATTCACATATAAATAAAATAACATTTTAATTATACTAATCAGCCAATAACAGTATACTAATAAAAATAACAGTACATTAATGAAAAATAGCTGTATAACAATTAACAATAACTGTGTAAAATCAATAATAGTTATGACTGCCAAATAATTTTCGTCGTCAATTTCAACCCCAAACATCCAAAACTTAGATGAATAATCATCCTACCTGATTTGTATATTATCTACAAAAGCTTGCAATTCCATGGAAATAGATCAGAGCTTTGCGCTTAATTTCGTTCCACAAGGAAGCTCGACTTTCCCTCGAGATTTTCGATCAATAGCCACCATATTTGGAATATCCTCCAGATCTCCGGTGAATAGCCACTGGCTATTATGCCATTTTTGAGAACTCCATCTAATCCTCTAGTGTTTTTTCATGGAGAAATGGTTTACCCAACTATTTACCCCGATTAAGGTGGATTTCCATATTTAGGTGGAAGTTCTAGCCAAATTCCCTTCTCTGAGCTACCTTCAGCTACACCACCGGCACCGATCTACTGTGTTTTTTGCGGGAACAACAACAATTAAAGGGGAGAAAGTAACTTCTCTCTCCTCCTTTTTTTTACACAACCCTTTTTCATTTTACCCCCCAATTTTATTTATTTATTTTTTTAATTTGCAAATATTATTTTTTTATTAGGGTATTGGACAGGGGGGGCCTATACCTGGTAAGAGGCAATAGTTTCTTGAATTAACAGTAGACAAATATGAAGTATGGTGTGGAATTCTCATGACATGCTTCCTTAATATGTAATCTTCTCATATCACTATTCTTAATAAGTCTAAAGAAAATAAGTCTCTTTCAAAAGAGATGAATGAACCCATTAAATTATTAGTTTTGTTTTAAAAACTTTGTAAAAGCAATGCATGTGTAATGTGAATGCACCATGTTCCTTTAGATTTAATTTAATGTGTTTAATTGAAAATATTATTATACTCAACTAATCTCTTAAATCTCACACATTTTATGTATGCGATTTCATAAACGTAGTAATCCATATTATCTTATCTAATTAATATTTTTTCTATTTTATCGGCTATTACATCATCTATTCATTTTCTATTAATTAATACAAAGTACGGAGTACTATACGACGGCTTGTTACTCAATTTTCTTTTTGTTAGATGAAACAATTAAATTAGGACAGATAGAGTTGTACGATTGAATAAACCATCACTGTATATGTGAAACAGGTAGGTCCTCCCGTGCTCAAATTAATGGCACCCACAAATGCAAAATTAAAGACATAACCTAACCTCGTCAGAGTCGTCACTTCCACACCTTGGTAGTAATTTCGGGGCATAATCGCACGATGCTTTATACTTGACTCTTGACTCTGGATTAAGTTGAGTAAAGCAACAGCATAGTATAAAACTACAACGCCAAAACTGACGAAGCTTCGCTCATTTCTATGGCGTGTGAAACACTGGGTCCCACACTTCCTCCATTAAAATAACCTTCCAAGTTACTTACCCTTTTCTAAGTCTGCTTCACACTCACATTTTATCTCTCCTCTTCTCATCAAATCACCGAAAATCCTCCCAATTTCTATTCATCGGTGCAATTGGCGCGAAATTTCAACTAGTTAGGTGATTATTCTCATTGAAATTTTGCATTTTTGTTGCTTTAATTTTGATTATTGAGTAATTTTGGATTATGGTTGTATAATCTGCGATTAACTATAGAATTTGACTAGGTCAGCTTATAATTGTCCGTCGCTTGTTTTTTTAAATTAGTTAATTGTTTGCGGTAGGATGCTAATTGTTTTTGTTGGTGAGGAATATCTGGTTCGTTTAATGTGAAGTATTAGTATTATACTTGCAATTAATTCAAATTATGCTGTAAATTTCAATATTATGCTTGTTTTAGTTGAATTCTTGCCGCAAAAACTGGAGCATTACTTGCTAACCTACTTTGTAGGCCACGATTATGTGGGAGAAGGCATTATGTTGAGTGTGGATTGCTTGTTTCGCCTTGATTTGAACTTGTTCGTTGTCGTCTTTTAATTAGGATGATTCTTAATAAGCTATCGACTGAGTAAAAGATGGAGTGGAATTCTAGAGTGAGATGCCCATCTAATTGATTGTAGTGAGTAGGATTAAAAACACTCAAACTCCAATTAATGATAGTAATTTGCTTTATGTTGTAGAAATAAGTCATTCTTCATAAGGAATTTTCGCTTTGGAGGTGGTGGTTTTAAAGGTGGGAAGATAAGAAAAAGAGAAACAACTTTGCCTACATTATGCTAACAAATTACCGATTGACATTCGTACCCTCGAAATGTACGTGTTAAATTAGTTGAATTTTTACATCTATAGTTAAAAAGAATTGACTGTGATGTGCAATTGTTTTGCTAATCGTGATCTATGATACTTTGTGAATATTATTGATGCTAACACCACTGTATGTTTTCTTTTGTTATGAAGGCATATGAAGAGGTTTGAATAGATTCTGATTTTCCTATATTCGGATCTGCAATGAAGCTGCTTTGTTCCTCATGTTTCCTAATACGGGGAAATTTTGGAGTCATGCGGCTTTCTCTTTTACTTATACTGCTATTATTGGCCGGAAAAGGAGCATTCTCAACTTCCAATTATCTAGTTGGGCTTGGGAGCTATGACATCACAGGACCGGCAGCTGATGTAAATATGATGGGATATGCAGATACAGCACAAATTGCATCTGGGGTTCATTTTAGGTTGCGTGCTCGCACATTTATTGTGGCAGAACCTCAAGGAAATCGTGTAGCTTTTGTGAATCTAGATGCTTGTATGGCCTCACAACTTGTGACTATCAAAGTTCTTGAGAGGTTGAAAGCAAGGTAACATCTTTCTTTCTACTTGGATCATAATTATGTTGAATATACATATACTCTGACCCTATAAAGTGCATGTGTTCACGAAATGTGAAAAACTCGAACTGGGTTTTTTTAAAGTATAGCGAGTTTTAGGAGGTAGGAGGTAGGAGGCAGGAGCTGAGAATTAATTGAACTCAAAAATTACTGAACACCTCAGAAATGAGTAAAATACCTTCAGTATACTTATTTAGGGTGATTTATTTTCTTAAGGTTTGCTATTGTATTGTCATGTATCATGTTTGGAGAATACTATTTTATTATTATCATTAAAGATCTTTGTTTGCAGGTATGGGAATCTGTACACTGAAAAGAATGTTGCTATCAGTGGAATTCATACACATGCTGGTCCCGGGGGTTATCTGCAGTATGTTGTATACATTGTCACTTCTCTTGGATTTGTGCGCCAGTCCTTTGATGCTCTTGTTGATGGCATTGAGCAGAGTTTTATACTAGCTCACGGAAATCTGAGACCTGGTCCGATCTTTGTGAACAAAGGTGCATTAAACTTTTCCTTTGCATTATTCTCCAACCCTTATTGTCATATAGGAACAAGATCTAGATATTGCATAGTGCTTGGTGATCGAGTTTAGTCTATGCTCATCTTCAATATACATGATTTCATTTTGCATCTATCTTTAACTAAAAACCTGTGTCTTCTGATGTTTTGGTATTTATTATTTATTTAGTTAAAGAAAGCTTTTTCAATGGAAAAAAAATAAATAAATTGCATAAGCTATTTGTTGCTCACTTGCTCCTTTTTCCCTTTCTTACTCATTATTTACTTGACCTAGCTAATCAGTGTTTTTTTACTTGGTGAAAAGGCATAAGTTACTTAACTTCTTTACTTTATAGGTTTCTGCGCTTTTCATCTATTTTGCATATTTCCTCCACTTCCATTGAATAGTCTTGATGAATCTGCATACTTGGATCAGGGACTGGCTAATTATTGAGCTTCAAACCTGGTGAAAGAACAATTTGTGTATATGTTGCTGATTATGGTGTAGCAATTATGATATAATTCAAACCTCTTGATATAATGATGTTCCTGCCTGATCTTTTTATAATATACTCTTATGCCTAATAATCCTAATATATTACTTTTGTTTGCATTTTTTTTGGAGAGGGGGGGGGGATTGAATGGTTATATTGACTCTTTTTATGTTTATATATTTTCACCCCTGTCCCTTGCACAGGAGAGATTCTTGATGCTGGTGTCAATCGCAGTCCTAGTGCTTATTTAAATAATCCTTCTGAGGAGCGAAGCAAGTACAAGTATGATGTTGATAAGGAGATGACCCTTCTGAAGTTTGTAGATGCTGAATGGGGTCCAGTTGGCAGTTTTAACTGGTTTGCGACTCATGGGACGTCCATGAGTCGTACAAATCTGTTGATAAGTGGGGATAACAAAGGTGCTGCTGCACGATTTATGGAAGACTGGCATGATGGGAAGGATAGCGGGAATATATATTCTGACGAATCTCACACAGGATCTACAGAAAGAATCCCCAGGCGAATTTCCAATATTATTCCTGAATACAACGTTAAGCGTAAGCATCAAACATTAATTTAAGAGTATATTTAGGATGAAATTTGCTATAGTGTTCCAGTGGTCTTACTGCAGCTCCACAAGACCATTGGCGTGTTTAATTTGAAGCCTTCATGCTAGTTTGCTGAAACTAGTAGACCTTTTGTTAGAGTATATGATGAAATATATTCTAGTAGAGTCAAGTGATAGTTATTCAATGGCTATATTAATTTTATTAAATTAAGATAGTTGTACATTTTTTGCTCCAATGCTGTATAGCTAGAGAAGAGCTTGGCTGGAGGTATTGAATCAATGATTATGACATATGGTATGTTATGAATTTGAGTTTCGGCTAGATTTGGCATTACAGCTAGAAGCTGTACTGACACGGGAAAAAGGCCCTATTAATCCTTTGAAAGTGCATGTAGTGGTCAATCTACTTATTTAAGATTCAAATGCACATGTTTAGTGTGTGTGTGAGTGTGAGTGTGTGTGTGTGTACACTCACACCCTCATTGTGATTGCTGATGATGAGTTTGTCCTGTGCTCCTGTACACATTCTAGTAATGGTCCCAGAGGCTTTAGTTTTGAGATCTCTTCAATGTTTCTTTATGCAGATCGTGAACTATTGGATCTCGCTGCTTCTTTTCAGGCTTCTTCTAAAAGAGAAGTAACCAAGTTTTCGAGCATTTCTAGCCGTGTGAGAAGTGCTCTCCGACAGAGTGATAAACCTAAATTTGTCGCTGCATTTTGTCAGTCAAACTGTGGTGATGTTAGCCCCAATGTTCTTGGTGCATATTGCATTGACACGGGCCTTCCCTGTGACTTCAATCATAGTACATGTGGTGGGAAGAATGAACTATGCTATGGTCGTGGACCAGGGTATGCAACTCTCTCAAATTATTTTCACTGATATGCCTACTAAAATTTCAGTGGCCATGCAAAATTAACTGTTATCTTTTCCTCACAGTTACCCTGATGAATTTGAGAGCACGCGTATAATTGGGGAGAGGCAGTTTAAGAAAGCTGCTGATCTTTTCAAAACAGCATCTGAACAGATAAAAGGGAAAATTGATTTTCGACATACTTACCTGGACTTCTCTAAACTTGAGGTTACGATCCCTAAAGAAGGAGGTGGCAGTGAGGTAGTCAAAACATGTCCGGCTGCAATGGGATTTGCCTTCGCTGCAGGTACTACAGATGGACCGGGAGCTTTTGATTTTAAGCAGGGAGACGACAAGGTAATTGAAACGACTAAATTATGTCCCCTTTTTGTAAATTTGTTCACATATTTAGTGTTTGCATGATCAGTAAATCACTATTCTTGTGGTGCATAATGTCAGGGAAACCCCTTTTGGAGATTAGTGCGTAACTTACTGAAAACACCGGGAAAAGAGCAGGTTGACTGCCAACAACCAAAACCAATTCTACTTGATACTGGTGAAATGAAGCTTCCATATGATTGGGCGGTAAGTATCTTCATATAAGTAATATGGCTACACAAAGCTATAGTATATTGTTTTGATATATGAGTAAAGTGCTTGCACAGTTTGACAGGACCTGTTATTAGTATTACAGTCAACTCTTGTTGGAAAATACAGGCTAATACCTGCTAGTCTGCTACTTGATTGGGATCGCTGATTTACTGGAAGATTGCGTTGTAGTGCTGTTCTATGTAGGTATAGGGGATGATCTATTAAAAGATGGTGGAAGTAGGCCTTCTCTAAAGTATCAAAGCCAAAATGCTATAATTTTGTGACATTATTAAGATTTGGATTTTGTGCAAGAATTTGAAAAAGAGATTAACAACAAGGTTAAGAATGCAACCAGCTTGTGTGAAAAATTAGTATTTCCCAAGTGGGAGTGGCCAAGTCTGGCTTACTAATTTTAGAATCTTTCATAAGTATAAAAACAGAACACAACCTCGGAACTGTGTTGTTCTCGATGGTTCCTTCATTCCTTGTGTGGTTCTGTTAGTTAATATTTATTGATGACCATTTAATTATGATTCTTTTTTATCTTACACAATGTGGTTCCTCTGCAGCCTGCAATACTTCCAATCCAGATCTTGCGAATTGGGCAATTCGTTATCCTTAGTGTACCTTCAGGTAGTCTTTTATCTACTTCATTAACATTTTATCGAGCTGTTTGGTTTCTAATTTATTTGTTGGCAGTTTGTAATTTTGTGTGTATTTGACTATCTTCTAGTAATCTTGCATCTTGTTTGTTACATTTCGACCATTAAGGTGTTGCCTCCCCAATTTGTTAAAATTATAGTTCTTTGTTCCAAGTATTGATGAGGGATGCAGGATCATTAGACTGCTAATAATATAAAGTGTGTAGGCTGTAGTTTTCCTAATAGATCAGCTGATCATTTTTTTTTGGTATCGCTAGAATTCACTTCTATAATGGTCTTATAAATGCATGGTCTGCTTTGGCTTGTCAATCACCAATGTTTCAAAAGCAGAACCCTGCTAATTTAAGGAATGTTCTTTGAATGAGCCGTAGAAAATTAATTAGGTTTTGTCATATGCTGTTCAGAAATTAGTTCAGTTAATCCTCTTAAGGTGTGGCAAAGGTTTGAGCTTTTTTAATTTTACATTGTATTTTTAGGGGAGAATATGTCATATGTGTTTAGAATTTGGGTTGTCATATTAGCATCATATTGGCAAACCTGTAACTTCAAGATTTTCATGTATTCTTTCCTGTGAATTTACAATTTCAGAAAGTTAAAAGTTTCATATGATGTATGACATAGAAGTAGATTTTTCCTTTTATTTTGGCTGATTTTGCTTTTATTCTGTCATCAGAGTTCACAACAATGGCTGGTAGGCGTCTTCGTGATGCTGTGAAGACAGTTCTTACTAGTGAATCTAGTGGAGAATTCAATGGCGGCCTTCATGTTGTTATAGCAGGATTGACAAATACTTACTCACAGTATGTAACCACCTACGAGGAGTACCAGGTCCAAAGATATGAGGTCAGTTTTCCATTTCCAGATTATTAAGATATTGCTTTATTTTCCTAACGTAACCATTGCTTCCAGCGAGTCAGTTTTATTCAAGGTTAACTTCATAGTAATATATTGTTAGACGTATATGGTATCTGGTGGGCCCATATTATTGTTGATGTCCGCTAAAACCAACTCCATTTCTATTTGCATTGTGTGCATTTACACTATCAAGCTACTGAACTTATATGGTTTCTCACAAGCCATTGACTTGAAGAACACTTGTACAGCATATTTCAGGCTTTCGGCAGTTTATTCTCAGTTTGCAGCTATTATATAATCTATGCATTTCTTCTCCCGATCCCGACTTCATAGTTTTAAGGCATTCGTTTGATGTTTTGAGATAGATTTATATCAATAAGAACCACAAATTCTACTTCCTTGTAGGTTTCGTGCTATTATAAGTATAGCAGACTCACTTCTTACCACTGGTAGGCATGGCAAAGATAACCTGACCTGTACTTGAAATTGAACCGACCCAATAAATTAAACCCAAAAATAACCCGACAAGAACCTTATCGAAAGACTCTGCACCCCGAATTTGATCTGGCTATAATGTCCCAACTCCACGTTATGATTGTCAGCTCAATTAGCCAGTGTTGGTAATTTTTGGTTCTTGCTGAGGAACTTTCTGTACCAAATAATACAGAAGTTGCCACTGATATTGTTCGTGAACTAAAAAACTTTGTATCTGGTTTAACATATAGCCCTCTAGGTCCTGGAAGTCTGTAACACCCCCCCCCCCCAAAAAAAAAAAAAAAAAGTTAAAAGAGAATGCAGAAAGCTGACCGTTGACTGACATTATGGTTTACAGGGTGCTTCTACGTTATATGGGCCCCACACACATAGTGCCTTCATTCAAGAATTCAAGAAACTTGCTACAGCCCTCGTCCATGGCCAAAGGGTTGAATCGGGCCCCCAGCCACCAGATCTCCTGGACAAGCAAGTGGGCTTTCTTACTCCGGTTGTTCTGGACACGCCTCCCCTTGGTTCAAACTTTGGAGATTGCAGCACGGATGTTCCCCGAAATGCAACCTTTAAGAGAGGTGATATGGTGAGCGTTGTCTTCTGGTCAGCCTGTCCAAGAAATGATCTCATGACCGAAGGAACATTTGCTTTGGTGGAGATGCTTCTAAAGAAGGACAGTTGGGAACCAGTTTACGATGATGATGATTTCTGTCTCCGCTTCAAGTGGTCAAGGCCTGCCAAACTCAGCACACGTAGTCAGGCAACAATAGAATGGAGGATCCCACCGAAAGCACTGCCAGGTGTGTATAGAATACGGCATTTTGGTGCTTCAAAGGGACTTTTTGGGTCAGTCCACCACTTTGAAGGTGCATCCAGTGCATTTGTCGTAGTATGAGATACTAGGTTTTGTACATGGCATGTACGTTTCACGAAACCACAAGTATTATTTCAGCATGACCCATGCTCACTAAAGTATTGATCTATTTAGTGCAGTGCTATTGTCAAGAAAAAAGATGCCTCCAGTTAATGTTGAGGGCGATTGTGAACATGTAATTATCAACATAAGTTTATAATCGTTTAGAAATATGACTCGACTTTCTGTATTATTCATCAAAATCGTTGCTGATAATGAATATCAAAGGTCCTTAGCCCGTAGAGAATACCTACGCCTTACTTAACCTTGTCAGTTTTCATATTTGTTTTTTGGTTGGTTGGTATTAGGCATTTATACCTCAGTTTTGTCAATATGAAATGAGTCTTTCGAAAGGACTGAAACTATACTGCCAGATAAAATCAGTAATTTTAACATCATGTTGAAAGGACAAGGAAGACTAATCACTATATGACCCCATTTAATTTACCTTATTTTTACTTAATTGAAATTATTTTTACTGAGTTGATATTAATTATACTTAAATGAAATAGTTGAAATGAAATTGTTTTTATTGATTTTCTATTAGTTAGTGAATTTTATTGATGACTAAAATGGGAATAATATACAAGAAAGCCCAATTAAGCAAAAAAAAAAACCCGAGCCTATACCCTATTTCAAATCAATCCACCAGTCCACTGCCTAACAATAACATGACATCATCAAACAGCTTCAAAATGTAAAATTAGAAAAAACAAAAAAAAAAAAAAAAAAAATCTGACAAACTGAATTTAAACTTAAAAAAAAAAAAAAAAAAAAAAAACCCAGTCTCACTTCATTCCCAGAAATTCAAAGATTCTCGATAATTCTCTCTTTCTTCAGTTGTTCGTGTTGAAGATCATCCATCTCCAGGTCGAAATTAAACATCAAAATCAGCTAGAAATTAATAGGAAAAATGTCAGTTCAAGAGTATTTGGACAAGCATTTGCTGTCTCGGAAGATTGAAGATGCCGTCAATGCCGCTGTTAGGGCTAAAACCAATGATCCAGTCCTATTTATCGTAAGTTCTTCCGTTTAATTATTGTTTTTCATCTTAATTTCTGGTTATTAATTTTGATTTTTGAATAATTAGGCAAATCATATGTTGAAATCGGTGCAATCAGTAATTACGAAGGTGAAGGCGAGGCAGATCCTTGATAGCAGAGGAATTCCTGCTGTTGAAGTTGAATTATCTACGAATAAAGGCACTTTTCGTGCTTCTTCTCCTAGCGGTCCTTCTTCTGGAATGTACGTCTCTTTCTCTTCCCTCTTTTTCCATTTTAGGTTTTTTTTTTTTGGGAGAATTCGGCGATCATATTTTTATATAAATTAGGTTTTAATGCTTCATGTTATTCAGCTGGTGTGTGTGTTTGCTGAAGAAATACAATGTAATTGCTGAAGGAATTGTTTCTAATTTGATTTAGGTAGATTATGGATTTTCGCGGCTTAGTGTGGTTTACCGTGTAGGAAGGCAATGTAATTGCTAAGGACTGTAGGAAGTTCCTGACTTATTTCAATTTCATTGGATAATTATGTTATATAAGGAGCAATCATATGGAGAATTATATGTAGTTATATACCAAGTTTATGATATGCTGGCTGTAGTTTATTCTGATAATTGGCTCTAGGTTGACAACCATCTTGATATTCGAGTGGATAGAGAAGAAATCATAGTTGTTTGTTGTCCACACGAAGAAGCTTAATTTTAGTATTTCTCTATCAGATTGTACAGGAAGGTTTGTTATTATTTTTCGTATGATTATAAAACTTCTTTTAACACCAAGAATGAAGTTACCACAATAAAGGACCTTAGTTGGATAAGCAAACTGTATTTATCATGCTTTACATTGTATACATTTACTTCTGGGATATCTCCGTTGAAATGGCATTGTAGTATCTTACTATCTTAGGAAAGCAAGATAACCTACTTTGTCCTGCAGAGACTCATAATTTGAGGTCCTATCTCTAAAAATAGTATCATTTCTTTCGAGTTACCAGGGAGAATTTGCGTATCAGGCTCCAAACCAGCACGCTGGATTCCTATCTCTCCAACAATCTATTCCAAATGAAAGAACCAAATTCATAGTGCTGAGATAGATGATTTTGTGTCTCACACCACTTTTTAGGCAAAAATGTACATGTTAATTTTTATGTTGCCTCTTTTGCAATATATCATTAATTTTAGCCTATTCAAACTAGTTGTCTGCATAAAAGTTTTAATCTTCTTCAAGACCTTAAATTTATTGAAAAAATTAGAAAGAGGGTAACGAATGTGGAGACCTTTGATAGTTGATTTAAAAAGAGCTGCTAGTGAAGATCCATGAAGTATTTCCTAATTTTGCTCTAGAAATTTGTCAAAAGCCTTTCTTTTTTGTGTTAGATTTTGTAATGGACCTATTTAGGGGAGGGCGTTACAGGTAGTTTAGTATTGCTGGTATGCAGTACATACAACTGATACAAGGGAAATTTTGCAAGGAACCAAGAGATGCCACATGCCCACATGGCACAAACATGACAAACCACCTAGAATCATCTTAGGAATATTAAATAAATAGGGAGAGAGAAGGAAGAGAAGGATAGGCAGAATTTTGTATTGGAAAACCTTGAGAGTTATGGCCTCAAGCCATTTTTTGAGAGTGATAGCCTCAAGCTATTAGCCCTATCGTTTTGTTACCATTCCAACATTATCAATGAATATTAAAGCTTCCATCTTTATTAATTCATCATATTTAATCAATTTACAAAAAAATCAGATTATATAGTTCACTCAAAGAATCAAACTTTTCCTCTCGATCTTCCTGTTATTTGCGTGAGTTAAGTTAGCAGATTATCTAGTCTATTACTGTAAAAAAGCATAAATAACTTTTTTGTAATGTCATGGTTAATGTTTGTCAGTTTGTAGCCATTCTTATGGTTATTTAATTTAGGTAAGTTATAATGTAGCTACTATATTTGTTTTCTATGATTTTTATATAAATGACTGCTTACAGCCTTGCATACCAGTTATGTCGTGTGCATACTGTTTTACCAACTTGTTATTTCCTGTTGTAAGTTGTTTGTCAACAAATAGGCTTCTATTTATATGTGCAGTTTAATTTTTTCACTCTTGCACTTGTACTGTGAAAATTATGTTTTTGTATTCCACTTGCGATGCTAATACAGTGTTGTTCACAATTTAGTGGTATTGTTTTTGGGTAGGTATGAAGCCACTGAATTGCGTGATGGAGACAAAGGGATCTATTTGGGTAACGGTGTTACTAAAGCTGTGAAAAATATAAACGAGAAAATATCTGAAGCATTGATTGGCATGGACCCTACTCTTCAATCCCAAATTGATCAAGTCATGCTTGACTTAGACAAGACAGAGAAGAAGGTAATTATCACATAGTGTGAGAATTTGTTCCCACTCCCACAGCCAGTCAGGCAGTCATATGTATGAAACAAATTGTCGCTTTCTTGCTTGTGGAAGATGGAGACTTTTAGTGCTCTGGCTTCTAAATGGTTTGAGTCCTATGTTCCTTAATACATCTGATGTTGCAGGGAGAACTAGGTGCAAATGCTATATTAGCAGTTTCAATTGCTGCTTGCAAAGCTGGAGCTGCTGAAAAAGAGGTATGATTTACATTGACATTTGACGATAGTTATCCCATTGTATTATTATGTTTTATATATCACCATCTTTTGACTAATATATTTGTTCCAGGTACCTCTTTACAAACATATAGCTGATATTTCTGGTGGGACGAATACATTGCTTCCTGTTCCATCCTTCACAGTTCTCAGTGGTGGTAAACATGCTGGAAACAATTTGGCTATTCAGGTATTGTGAACTTGTGTAGATAATACAACTTGCTTGACATGCAATCGCAGATATTAACTCATAGAAAGCTCAAGTTCCATTCTGTTTTTCACTGAGGTTTTATACTTGAATTGTGATTTACAGGAAATTATGGTTTTGCCTGTTGGTGCAAAGACATTTGAGGAGGCAGTGCAGATGGGATCTGAAACGTATCATCACCTAAAGGTATTTTACTTCATCAAAGTAGTGGTCATAGTTTAAGCAGGAATATTTTCCTTCTGCACGTAGAACACCGTGTTCTTTGATATTCGTGACCATTCCACAATCTAATTTTATGTGCTACACAAAAGTAAGAACACAGTATTACTTCTACTATGAAAACAACGACAAAATTAAACATTTTCCAGCACTAAATGAATATGTCTTCTCCCTTGGAGTACTTAAAGAGAGAAGATGTTTCCCAAGAGCACAATAGTGTAAAAAGAAAGTAATGAGCTTTTTTACTTGGACTTAGAACTACAAAACTTATAAGTCTCAAACACTGGCATTTCATGAAACTTTTGCATGATTTTAGTCCAAATTAAGTGTATGTGAAGTGTCATACCCACGTGCCTGTTGAGTATCCGACATGGTCACGCAGATACTTACGGTAGAATGAAGAGTTGGAACGGCATAGGTGATGTAAATTTGAATTCTGTTGCATTATATTTGGCTTCTTTCATCTCAACTATTAGAATCAAAATCCCAATGACTCTACCTATCGCATTTTAATTACTTTGTATGTGATAGCTCATTGTCTTCCAGCCAGTACTTTCAGCCTCATGTAATTCTCACTAGCAAACAAGTTTGTCTCAAACACTCTTATCTTAAAGTGTGTTTGCTTGCAATTTAATGATTTGATTTTTTGTTAATGGAAAGGGCAGGCTGTTATTACAGAAAAGTTTGGTGTGCATGGATGCAATGTAGGAGAAGATGGTGGGTTGGCTCCTAACATTTCAAGGCAAGCCTATTTTACTGGGGGGATTCTCTTGTTCTATAATAAAATCAATGAGTATACATAAATCATATTAAAATTAATACCATGAGTTCACAATCTTATTATGTCATGGTGTTTAGCTTGTGCATTTTGTTCTATGCAGCTCTGATTTTTTATCTGTCTTTTGCAGTGTAAAAGAAGCCCTGGATT